GAAGTGGCTCAAACACATGCTTACGAGAATAAAAGCCGTGCTACTGACAATCAATAAAGAGAAGAGTGAGTTTTGTTGCAAATAGGTTTTCTACGTAAGAATCGTTATAAAGTGTAAAGGTTTTTACCGCAATCTAACAAAGATTTAGCGGATTGTGGCCTGTCCAGTGCCCCAGAATCTTAAGCAGCTACGTCGTTTTTTATGCATGTCTTCCTGGTACCAGAAATTTCTGCCTAATAATGCTTCTGTCACTGATTCTATGACGTAACTCTTGTGGAAAGACTGTAAGTTTTGAGTGGACCAAGAAACAACAAAATGATTTTAAGCACGCAAAGGCTCTTATAGCCTTTGCATCGATGCTGCAGAGGCACTTCGTCAACGCACCGTTCACCATCCAAACAGTTTCCAGTGACGTTGGACTTGGTGTCATGATTACGCAAGAGGTTAAAAAGCAGGAGTAAGTGCTCGAATATGCTAGCTGCAACTTGACACCAGTTGAGATGAATTACAGCGTGACTGAGAAGAAAATTCTCACTGTGCTCTGGGTATACACAAATTTCGCCTTTATGTAGAAAGAAGTCACTTCAAGGTCATTACGGACCACAGTAGCCTTTGCTGGATGAGCAATGTGCACAATCCGATCAGACGACTTTTACGCTGGGCCTTAGAGCTGTATAACTATGAGTTTGGGGTATAACATTAAAAAGGTGCAGTAAATTACGTGCCAGATGCACTCTTGCACCTGTACGAAGAAAAGAAAAAGCTTTCTATTAGAGCGGCGATGCCTACGAATACCGTGCAAGATGCCTGGTACAGTGCCTGTCTAAAGAAAGTTAGTCACTCCCTTACCGATTTTCCGCGCTGAAAAATCATCGGTGAGCAACTCTACGTGCACTGCCCTGATCTCAAAATCAATGATACACTGGGCAACTCAGATGCCTGGAAGCTTGTCGTACCCAAGGAGGGGAAAAAGGAAGGGTTAAGAAAGTGCCATAACAAGCTGTAAGCTGGCCACCTTGGTCTCGAGAAGACCTTTGCGCGCATGTCCCGACGCTACTAGTAGCCTTAATATTATCAAAGCACAGCTAAGCACGTAAAAAAGTGCCGAGTTTACCAGCAGCTTAAAGTAGAACAAAAGCTACTAGTCACGCTGATCGGCAGACGCATGATCTCTGACATATGGCAAACAGTTACAGCACATATAATGGGCCCACTAATGTGCAGCCCACACGAATACAAGTATACCTGATGAATGACTACTTGCAGAAACGGAGTATTGCACACTGCTATACTCCCACATACCACCCCCAGGCAAACCCAGTGGAACAGGCAGTGGTACCTGGGACAAAACGCTTGTAGAGCTCGTGTTTGCCTACAGTATAAGCAAACACTAATCCACAGGCTCGAGTCTTGCCATGTTCAACTACGGCCACAAGCCACTTGCTTAAAGTGCTTTTAAGCTGCAGGCAGATAATACGGCTATAAACTCCCTCCAGGTCATCGATGAGTAGAAAAATCAAATAACGCGCCTTCCACCCTTGCATAAAAAAGCCTACGAGGCTGCAAATAAGCCCAAGAGCAACAAGCTGAGTATTGTAATGCACATCATCGTAGTGTACTGTTCTAAGCAGGTGATAAAGTCTAGAAGGAAAATTGAGTTCTATCCTCGGCTACTTAAAAATTTGCAGCTAAACAGTTACTAAAATTCATGAGACCGTACATTTTTATTAAGAATATGGGCTCCAACTTGTACGATTTAATGAATGCTAAAGGTGAGAGAGAAGGCCCTGTCCTTGTGCAATAACTGAAAGCTCACTTGTTAGACGAAAATACCTCGGAAAGCGAAAAAGACGACAAAGTTGCAGAGCCACCCCTACCACCGTGGGAGAGTGGAAAATTGGTAAAGCGGGATCCATCATGAGCAAGCGTAATTGCAAAAAGTATTTGCAATGACAAGTCTGTAAAGAGAGTTTACGGCCGTTAGCGTAAGAGGCCTTTTGCGACCCGGAGGGCCAATATTCCGTCGTCGAATAACATTGTAAGGCGTAGCAAGGCTACAGAACTGGTTAAACGGAGGCGCAGACACCCACCTAGACACCCAAGTGGACAGGCCAATGAACCGTAAAATCCCAAGAAAAAAATAGACCAACCGCTGTGGATGGGCGCATTAGGAAAGGACAAGCTTGGGCGTCCAAAGAAAGCCGCTCCAGCACCATCCTCAATAAGTTAATGACTACAGATAGGCCATCCTGGCCAGACTACGCGTTATTCGACTCAGAGGAGGCTAACTGATCGCGTACACGCACAACGATTGAATAGGTGGAGCCCCCCACCTACGTGAACGAACTGTGCATCCCATGGACCGCCCCTCTCGTTATGGATCAGTTGGGCAAGTAGTATGATGTTACGTGGGAGACGGGAAGTACCGAGGACACTACCACCATGGCAAAATTGGATGATGCAGCACGTGAACTTAAAGCCTCAGAGCCCATGGAGCTCACCCCTACAGAAGATAGCTTGCCCACCCTCGCAGACCTGGAGACCATTCTGGCTTAAAATAAAGCGCCAGCTAATGAAATGAGCTTGTGAAGTCCATCCTGGCAGGGAGCAAAGTCTTAGCCTCCGAGGTCACCAAGGCTATTTTAGCCGAGAGCGAAGTGCCAACCATCGAGGCCATGGAAACCACTCCAGCAAAGATAGATGTGCCAGTCACTAAGACTGCAGCTGCCTTGGCCGAGAACATTGCGTCAGTAACTGAGGCCCAATAAGCCAGCCCAGTGGAGGTGGGTACCCTCGTCATCGATTCCATGAAGGTTGTCACTGATGACACACCCGCCTTCAAGGTCATGGAGACCATCCCAGCTGAGAACGCTGCCTACACTGAAGAACCAGGCAACGCTATAAGCGAGGCTCAAGCTGCAGAGGCCACCTCTGCCAAGAACAACGCACCTGGCTTAAGGGCAACCTAGCCAGCTCAAGATCTGCCTACTCTGACTTCTTCGCTCTACGATTAAGCATGGAAAAAAAGCCTGGCTGAGATAGACCATCTCAAAGATAGTGCCACTTACTTCCTCGTATAAATCAGGTCAAAGGTTACAAAGTATCTGGATTCAGTGTATCGACTCATTCTGGAGCATTAAACGCATGAGGACTTAAGCGCTCACGAGGTCTCAGCTTGACATAAAAGGGTGGCCTTTCGAGGATGCACTAGCCTACTCTAAAATTTGCCAATGTAAACTGGAAGTAAAGTTGCAAGAATACCGTCACCTACGTGCGAAGAATCCCGACGCCATTGCCCACTTTTCTCTCTCTCGATTCCCGAGCCCCACGGCCAGCGACCCAACGGTCCTGTATCCAGAGGACCCCAACACAGGACGAGTCGGCTTCTGCCACAGCTGTGGCTTCTTTAGAGTAAGACGCACTGACTGCTGCCCACGTACAAAGGACCACCATATGTGGTAGCATTGCCCAAATGGTACTTGGCATCGACGAACTCCTGAGTAAAATTTAGCAATTAAGAGGTTCTTCTCACCACAGCCCTCATTCTGAAAATCTGTCTTTTTGCTTTTCTTCAATATATTTTTCTTCCGTTCTTATCATTTTTTTTTTTTTTTTTTTTTTTTTTTTTTTTTTTTTTTTTTTTTTTTTTTTTTT